CTTTTTGTAAAGATCTGACCCACTCAGTTACACTCATAAATTCCATTTAGCCATACACAATATTTGTTATGTACATTTGAAAGACAGAGTGTAACATTTTCTCCCAGTTTTCTCTCAGTTTGCATTAAACGGATCCTCACAGGTTTTACTTTCTAACGCATGGCGGAGATGCCAGCTCAGGAGGGGGTTGAAAATTGGCACAGCAGCTCCCCCCCCCCCTGTTTGGGGTGTCAGCCACCCACTCATTGTCACTCCGCAGACTGGCTGCCTTCGTGGAGAGCCCTAGCACACATGCAGTTTGCCCGATTCCACCTGAACTGCTCTAGGCACCCAGCCAGCAGTAGACGTCGCTGAGGAAGGATGAAAGCACTGGGAATCCAGAAGTAAGATGGAGTGGAAACTACTTATATGATGACAAGCTAGTTTGCAGTGTCTCAGATCTATCGTTATAGGCGTGGCCCACTGGAGAAAATCATCCCCAGTGAAAATCATTTAGTCAGAAATGGCAAATAAAATATATCCAAGCTACTGATTATACATTAAAAAGGGTTGTGGTACGACGTCACCAGTGGCTTTAATATTAGGCCTGTGTTATGGGGTAGTCAAGGGATGCTGTGGCATCAGCTGGTGGTCTCCTACTGAAAAATAGATAGAAATGGTGGGGAAATGACTGAAAAGGGATTTGAGGATTTATGCAGGGTAAAATGACTTTCATTTCATTAAAAAAAAAAAAGTGCATACATGATTAATCAAGTGATTAATCTGTTTGTTATGACTTATTCTGATGTAGTGATAGCTTATTTTTATCTAACAATCATCCATCTACCTTCCCAGTATAGAGTCATAGGAGCGAGACAGTGAAGTCTATTTGAGGAAGTATAGGGCACAATGTTTGGGTATATGTATACCCTGGAACGGATGTCAGTTCTTCACAGGACATGCACACAAAAACTCTCACACCCTATAGGCAGGCTAGAAAATGGATATTCGGGCTTTGGGAAGAAATTGAAGTCCATCCATCCATCCATTACCTGCCACTTGTCCGGGGTTTGGGTCGTGGGGGTAGGAGCTTCAGGAGAGACACCCAAACCTCCCTCTCCCCAGCTACCTCTACCAGCTCCTCGGGGAGGACGCCGAGATGTTCCCAGGCCGGCCGAGAGATATAATCCCTCCAGCGAGTCCTGGGTCTGCCCCAGGATAGGGTGCGTAGATGTATCTGAGGCAGATACATCTACATGTAGACAGTAAATAATTTTTCGGCCACATCGTAGAGTTAATTCACTTCCTTCATGCTCTTCTCCAGAGCTATGGACATGGCCCATGTGACATCAAAGTAACATTCATAATCCTGAGAATGCTGGCAATAAATCTTTGACCGACTGCGTGACAGAATTACAGTGACTTATTTGGATGATATTGGGTTATTTGTGTATTGGAGTTGAGCTAAGAATGACGGCTAGCCAAGCATTTGTTACTGTCCCTAGCTGCACCCAGAGTCTCTCAGTGTATTCTAAACATTTTTTTGGACTTGTTTATTTCTTATTAAAGAATAAAATATTGCTCTGTCACTCAACGAGTGACAGGTTGCCCTTTTGTTTTCTGTAATTTTCCAGTGTAAACCCTCAGGACATAAACACTACACATCAATAGGGAAATATTCCTTTGTACTTGTTCTCTTACCAGCCAATTGTCCATTTATTATGTCATATCCATCACATTAATGTCCTCTTTCTCTCCTTCCTTCTCTATACGTTACTATGAAAGCTATCATCTGTCAGTATGAGGATCAACAAGCTGACTGAATAAAAAGAAAAAGAAACCAAAAAGACTTTGCTGAGGAGGCCACAGACACCAGACTGCTGTTCAAACAGCCATTTCCATGCTTGTAAGTTTACTTTGTCAGCATTGTAGCCTGATACTATCAGGGTTATGGATTCAATCCCAAGCTGGAGCATTAATCATCTCGTCACACTTGTGCTTGTTTTTTCTGCATACTCAGACTTGCTTTAGCAGTCCAAAAACATGCGGCTGAATTGGTGAGTTGATGTCCTACGACTGTCTAAAATCTGTATGTATGTGTGCCCTGTAATGGATTGGTATCCCATCTAGACTGACCCTTGCTACATTTTCTGGTGATTCCAGGGATCCAGGTTTCCTTAGAAACACTTTATATGACGTTTCTATACAGTATATATATATTTGTAATGCAGCTCCTGTTGCACATGTATAAACCACATTCAATGGTTGCCAAAGTAAACATTTTTATGAAGATCATGAGCATAATATTCAAGACTAATGCAGGAGTTTTGTCCTATGTATTTGTGTAATTAACCGTTTTGTAATTTCAATTTTCATACAGCACATTGATACAATGAAAATTTGAAAAATACATAACCATTAAAAAAAATAAAACAAGCCAAAATATTGGATATGTCCTGATAGATCTAAGTAAAACACACATTGGAGATGTTTGTTTTTATACATATTTGATATGTTTGACATTTTATATGTTTTATTAATATGCTTTATTTAATGTTCCTTTAGTTTAGACACAGGATTGGTAGTTATTACACACTCAATAAATAAATAGATATATTTCAAATTTGTTTCATTTGCTTATTAAAAACAATATTTTGTTTAGCTGTCTCAAAAACACCACTGAAGTAAACTATATTCAGGGCAAACAACCAGGAAGTACTGTAAACCAGGCAGGGAGAGACAAAGTCATCCTGGAAATGTGCTCAGCTTTGATGCTATGTAGAAAATCCTGTCAACAAGATGTGTTGTAATTTCTTTTTTCACTATGACAGCCTCCCTCTGAAGACATAATATAGATTTGTAGGGGTCTTTGGCATATATCCTTTCAAATAATTAGAAATGCAGTATCTTATGCACACTGAAACAAACAAATATCATAGGCCTATTTTCAGTTTTCTGCAATAGAATACAAATAGAATACAAAACAATAGAAGACAAAACAAAGTGGAGTATAGCAAAAACATAGTTGCAGTAATTCTAACAAAACATTCATATAAATATTTAATCTATACATTATACCAATAATGTTTTATTTTTTGAGTATATCACTCCATCTGTATAGTGCTCTACTGTGAGAGAAAAAAAAATCATGCTCCGACATTTTAAGTCACACGTATTATTTGCTTTATTTCCTCTTGAAGACGGATTTAGGCCTTCACAGAACAGGGAAATAAAAATTATATTTCAAGAAAGGGCTTCGGATGTAACAGATTTATACGTTATGTAGATTATTTATTCTTACATAATGTACAGCACTCACTTCACTTTTAACGCTAACCAAATCCAGAATATATAACTGCTTCGAAAACTGCTTCAAAACCGTTTCACTTAATAAAAAACGTTTTTTATATATTGCTATACAACATATGTTAATCATTCTGTATAACACTCGTACAGTCAGCATTTGTTTACGTTTACCATTCTGCCACTTTAAAGTACCCACGTTGGCCAATAGTTCCAAATACTCTGACGCAGTTGTGACGTACATGCTGCAGTACATGGAATTCGGAACGAAATAAGTGTATAAAATTTATTTAATCATAGATGTATTATGTATATGCTTTGTAAATAGACTGTGCGTATTTATCTGGCAGTAATAAATAATAACATGGAAAGTTACACGTCTCTATCTTGATTGATTTTTACTGTACTCCCTGCTCCTTCGCTTCCTTTCTCATGGTAAACATATGTCCCTCCGCGGCCATACCATAAAGTAGTACCCATGAATTAATTTGCTTTTCGGCAGTAAGCTTAATGTTCAAGTTTATGTAACGTTGTTTGCACACAGTTCAATTTTCATTTTAAATGGGAGTAAAACAAAAATTGTATGCAGTATTGTGAACATTGATTTTTTTTTGGCAGGACTCGACTGGATTGCACAGTTTGGCATTCCCAGTGTTTATACTGAAGAAATGCCAACAAGGCTTAAGAAAATGGTACTGTGCCTGTCTCGATCACTCCTTTGTAATATTGCCTGTTATTACTATCCTGTATAATTTATATTAAACTTCTTATTAAACATTTAACAAGTCATTACGTTGTTTAAAAACGAGTAACGAATTCGTTCCCAAAACATTTAATTACTGCGATATAATAAAATGAGAAGAACGCACAAATATGTTATCTGCAGAACGTAACTAAATTCTGCATTAAGTGACAGATTACCAAAACCCTTATTTCATTAGAGATTTATGCAAAGAATACCAAATGAATGGAATTGTGTCTCATGAACATGGTTTTATATTGCTTATTAGTTGTAATGGTGTTATTTAAAAGTCCATAACCCTAATTCACCTGTTAGGGTTATGGAAGCTTTAGATAACTATAAAGCTTTACACCCGTACATTTAAAATACTTTATAATTTTTAAACTGCAATAGTCTATAGTCATTTATTCTCCACTTAACAAAGTTGTGCCTAAGGAACTGAGAACTGCTACATCTCACGCTCATGTTTGTGGTTAAACATCAAAATGAATATGAATATTGTAATAGCAAAATACCCATTTAAGCCTGCCATATAACTATGAAAATTGCATCTGCCGTCGGAACGACATTTCAAATGACGAAACACTCAAGATCCTGGTGCAGATTATGAAGACAATAACGGATAAATCACAAGGTGGTATATATGTAGCAGATTATCTGACGTAAAAGATTTACATGCTATTTCCTCGTGATTCTGTGTAATACCCATGTGCCTCAAAGGTAAATAAATAATTTCTCCATGTGAAATGGATATTAAATGGAAATGATTAAGACACTGAGGTAACAAAACTGTATACCTTTAATTGAAACCTTTCAAAACGTAATTGACAAGGCGGAGGGATACGTACACTCCATCCAAACATGATCCCCCTAGGTTCCTCCTCCTCCTTCTTCTTACAGCATGTCAACAAACCCCTGTCTTTTTATTGGCGCAGTCTCCCTGATACCTTGTTTCCTATTGGTTCCTTAAAATGTCAGTTACCGAGTAGTTCCAAGCAAGGTAGTGAGCACCACTTCTACATTGTATCATTTGACTGAACTAAATAGTTAGCTAGCTATTCGCTAGCTATCTTATAGCAAGAAGGGTAATTTAGTTGATGTCCACGTTGATAACTTGTTTATTATTAATGTCGTAACACTTTTTATTCTTATTATTAAATATCAAGTAATTGTATTGTTGAAGTCACGGATGTGGATTTAGTAGCAATTGGTAAGTAACTGACAGCCTAAAGTGCAGTGTTGGCTAGTTAGCTAAAGAGAATGTCTGATAAATGGTCCTTTTGCCGCCGTTGACTTTGTAGGTTGTAGTTGCATGGGTAGCTGGTTATGTTGGCTCGCTGTTTATCCACTTATTCCACTGTGACTTGTGTTTTGGTGGGACGTAGTATGGGATCCCAGCCTGGTCGTGATTTGGAGAAACGTTAGCCGAGCTGTATATGACCGTGCGCTGATTTCTGTCCGCGTCCTGAGTCCGCTTCTCCGGACAGGCGACCAGCCGCGGAGCCGCTCGGCTTCTGCCACGGTGTCAAACGGAGCGCGCGACTGGCCGCTTTTTCCTGCGTGTGATGTTTTAAAAGGGCGAAGGAAGTCGTCTGGTTTTGGGAGACCCTGCGCCGTGGCCGTGACAGCTCCAGACGGGCTGTCATCGAGGAGACGCCGGAGCTGTTTACTCTCCAGGACATGTAGGTTGCTATCCAGCTACATAATATTAAAAAATTAATGGACTTTAATAAATTGCTCGAAAGGATATTTTCTTTACGTGAGGCTGTTTTATTTGTCGCGCTTTTGATTTATGTAACTAGCTGTATTATTTAACTACCCAGTCTTTCTGTGCGGTTTAGTAAGAAGTCTCATAGTAGAGGATTTTCCGCAGCATTTTGAGGACATTTTATGAAGCATGTAACTTTTTTGTGATTGTTTTTTTTATTCAGCATTCATATTTGTCGTAGTATTTGTTACAAGCTGCATTGGCTAATTAATTGTAAACGAGACGTCATGTAACTGGCACACCTTTGAAAAATAGTTCTGTATTGGAGATTCATTAGATACAATTGCTCTTAGTCAGTAGCTAATTACCTACAAAGTCGACGTTTCTTAACGACAGGAGTCATTAAACCCTCCGCAACCACGAAAGGTAGCTACAGTATTTAAAGAGTTAGTCTGATTCATCCAAGACCTTTTTTAGGTAGTAGTTGCTGTTGCTGTTTCGTACCGCTTGATTGAAACGTTAACACACTTCGCAGTTTTAACTCTACTTTCCATCGGTAGAAAGGAGATGTTCCGCAGAAGTTGTCTTACAGCGAATGCTGCTCATACCATATATCACCAGGGTCACCATTTTCTGGGTTTAAAGTAGAGAGTGTGATCTGCTTCGGATCTTGAATTTCGTCTGTTTGCTGCCCTGCTAGCAATAGAGATTAATTCTTTTTTCCACTGTGTGATGGCAGTTAGGAGTCAAAAAAGTCTAGACATTTTTTTAAATTCCCTGTGATGGTTTAATTATAAGCGCTGTGACGTGTGCTTTCATTAAATCATTATTTTGAATAAACAGTTTAATGACTGACTATATGATCCTTAGATTGCAATGAACTGCCCTCAAGGACAAATTCTGGGTATTATCTTCATCTATCTACTGTCCTCTGGCTATTAATTCGAAGTGTGAAGGCCTGTGAATTTCCAAGCAGTCCCCCCCCCCCAGCTCATTTTAGCACTAGGCTTATTATAGGTTATTGAAAAGCTTGATGTCGTAGTTGAAGTGGCATTTCAAATTAAAAGGACTGAGTGAGGGAATGCATCTTGGCCTTTTGGTGGCCGAGCTCATTAGTGGAAGAGGGCTGCGGTTGTGTCGTCAGGTGAAAGGATTTGTGCATCTCAGGGGTTTTCTGTAGCAATGCCTGGACCCCCTTAAATGAAATCTATATCATGGATACCTGTTTGAAAAGCTACAGAATGGTCAAGCAGTAATTCTGCAATAATTAGCTGTTTGGGTTACTATTTAGTCCTTAAATGTATCTGACTTTATCATTTGTTTTTAAAGCATCCATATTTGTGTTACAGTATGGCTTTTTTTGTTGATATGCTGTTGTTTATTTTTTATTTTTTTGGGTCATTGCTCACCATTATATTTTGGCAGTGATTCAGCAGTAGTAATTAAGGACCAAACCGCTCAATGAATGAGTGATGAATGTCTGATTTGTTAATTACATGTTAATTTCCTGTCCTGGATTTGCTTTGAAGTGTGCCCCTGGCCTTGTAAATTAGAGTAAGGTGAGTCATGCATACAAATATACAGTTTGGCGTATAAAGTTTAACCTAATATTGAGCCACAGGCTGCATTGCTGCCAGTGTTCTTTATGAGGCAAATAAGTGTTGCATGCCTGTAATGTGAAAACTTTGTCAAAGAACAAAAAATCATATCACACATTTAGGTTATGAGTCTATGGAGAGCTATATTTTGTTAAGGTGAAGTTAGATGAAAATCAAAACAGTGCACTCTACGTAATGGGCTGGGAAGAATTTTTGTTGTGACTTTTGGCTCTTCTGGGATTTTCTCTAAGTGGGAACAGTATGAATATTATCAGTCAAAATGACATGCCTTACAGATTTTTTAAACACTTTCTTTTAAGCAGGGACTGTTAGTACTGTTCAATATATTGACCGTTCTATTATTCCCAACGGTACCAGTTAAGATGGTGTTTAGACACGCAACTGATTAATAGGAATTAACTCTGTTCTGTACTTTTTTATGTATGGTACTTAATCCACCCGCATTAAAAACCATATTGTGTAGATGCTTATTATTTTTCTCTTTAATCTTAAAATTTAAAGTTGAATGAGGTATCGTGAATAGGTCTTGCATAAGTAGAGAAGTAAAGTTTTAGGGAGGTAATCTAATCACAAAGTAAAATTTGTTTTTACAAACAATGACTCCGCTAGAAGCTCACTTTGACTTAATTGGTATGCAGGTCTTATTGTTGGCATCCTGAAATTATGGTATGAATTTTCAGAATTAAGACATGATACATAACAATACAATACAAATATCATTAATATTAATGTGGTAGCATAAGCATAATGGCATTATTTTCAAATATTGTTTTAATAATCATATATTTTAAATGTATATTTTACAGTTCAATTGACTTTCAAGCCCCAATAACATCCTTCATTTAAATTACTACCCTGTTAATAGTTACTAGTTCAGCAGTGTCAGACAGAACATTCGTAGCTATTCCCCCCTCCATCGAGTAGATAGTCGATACTGCAAAGTCTGTTTCAGCTATGCTGTCCCTGCATGTTAAACACCGTACTTTCGTAAACATCTTCAGGAACCTCTACAGTCTAGTTTTAGAAGGAGGCTGATGTTTGACGCATATTCTTTGCTTGCATGTAGTTTGTTACTTAGCAACAATTCGAAGTTCAATTTGAGTACGTATTAGAAAATTCAGGCAACATTTCTTAGTCTTACTAGCTAATTGTCAAAAGTGTTCTTGAAAGCAGCTGATATTGAGTGGCATTTTTGTGCAGAAGACTGCTCAGATTGCCCAATTCATGGGCCACTATGCACATTCCAAAATAAAGGAAGCAACCTTTGATTACTCTGGAATGAATTGCTCCAGTAGATTCTATGAAAAGTTTGTGCAGGTCAATGTCAACATTCAAATTGAGATATTGAATGAATTGATTTAAGTGTCCATTTTTTTGTATTCTCTACCCAACACACTCATGTGTTTACAATGAAATGTCAATAAAAGGGAGATCCATATAGGTAAAGATGAAAAGAGGTGAGTCTGTTGTTGTGGGATTGCTTCAACTTCATCTTCAGCCTTCAGTGAGATCTTCCACTCCACGCAGCTTCTTGCCCCTGCAGGATCTCTTAGCCGCAGCTTATCTTGGTGAACAATCCTTGTAGCCTGGGGTGGAGTAGAGACTTGTCAAAACCCCTGGTGATATGCTGTGCAGTGTAGTCTATTGGATCCAACATAATGGCCTTCCTTCTGACAAAGTAAAATAAAATGGATTGTTATATTCCTGAGATAAAGATGTCAAGCAGCCAGTGTTGCTTTCGTTGACTTTTTTCCCTGCAATAGTCTGAATAAAATGATTTCCCGTTCCGAGATTAAGCTTTAGGTCATCTGTGGAGGTGTCTTTAATAAGGACTTGTAGATTCCATCAATTGGCTCTGCCATGAATATTATTTGGTAACATCTGGAATTCATATTGGTTGAATTTTTGCTGAAGAACCTTATCTTCAGTATGAACAGTACAGTAAAGTCAAATATGTCATTGATATTTGTATCTGGTATGCGACTTAGTGTTTACCAAAGTGGTGTGCCAGATCAGGCTCAGCACAATCTATTTTTCATCTGTTTTCATCAATGTTTTTTTTCCCCGACTTCATATTCAGCCAGAGATTGAATAAGACTGAATATCTTACTCTGTGCTGTGTGAAATACATATTCGGTTACCGTGGGGACATTCCTAGCCAGCTATTATATATTAAATCCTATCTGTTTAAAAAACAACATTCATAACTTGGCTGCATGTAATTCAGCTCAATATTGAAGCATGACAAAAATGCATATTTTCTTAAAGGAAAAAAAAATGTACGTCTGGCTAATAATTTGATTAAATGACCAAGATTAACTTCTCAGATAAAAAAAAAAAGAAGAAAATTCTCGAGTAAAAGGTATTCTGAACATATGTAATTGATCGGGGATCCATTTTCAGGTTAAGATGTTTCTGTTATTTGTTCCATTTTTACAGAAAGCTAAATTGTTTGTTGTCGTTAGTATTGTTGTGTCATGTTAACAATGCTAAATAAAATGTATAAAATATACAGTGTCAGATGACTAACTTCTGTCAGTGTATTGTCTGGCTTTAGAATTTCCTTGTTTGTTTGCAAGTGTGGTTCTCCTCCAGCAGACCTGCTTTTGCAGGACGTTTGTATCTGCAAGCCTGAGGCGTATATGACTGTGTATATGTGTGGCTCTGTCTGCGGCTGTTTCCTGTGAGTCAGTTCATCCAGATTATGTGTGTCAGCTCATTTTGGTTAGGTTTTTGTTTTTATTTTTATTTTATTATGATCATTTTTTGTTGTGGAACCCGAGATTTGGGAGTTGGCTTGTATGTGGTGAGGTCTCTCTCTGAGCTGGCACCGCGTGTAGTGTGACCCAAGCCTTGGCATGCAGCAGATACAAAGAGACAAAATGGGGGATGGGGTTGGACTTGCTCTGTGGAGACCAGGAAAAAGATGGCCAATAGTCTTCTGTGATGATATAAACTCGCGTTCTTTTAACAGCTCTGAATTTTTGTGTGGCCAGTTTAAAAAAATAAGTGCTTGGCATTAAATGTTGCAGGGGAATTTGGGGAGTGTGTGTGCTGCATTCTGGTATGTTTGTTTTTTGGGATGAAGATGATTAAGCAAAATGTCCCTGTGTGAATGTGGTTTTATTTGGTGTTAAGCAAGGAAAAAAAATAATACTCATGATAATAAACTCTGAGCCTGTATTAAAACATTTATTGAGAGTTGATTTACGTGTTAAATCTTTTTACCAGACAATGGCTTCTTTCAGTAAGAATTATTTATTAAGGATGAAATATTTTGATATATTGGTATAATTTACATACCTCAAATTTTCGTTTTTCAAGTTGTATGGGAGGGCATTATGGTTGGTGTGTG